TCACGACCAAAATTTAATACAACAAAAAAGTAATTTGAAAAATGATAGGGAATCTGGTTGTTTTAAAGACATATGTAACAATTTAAAAACGTTATATATATTGAAATAAAAATAAATTGTAGCAGTAGTTTTAATAAATATGTATAGATAGAAGGAGGTTAGTAAACTTAATTATTCCAATATATTTAAACCTTGAAGACAGTAGGTGGATACAGTTTGCATTTCTCTATTTTGAGTTTGTTAATTCAAGCTTTGTAGTATTTAACTTGAATTTAGAAAAAAAGATATATAGCTATAGATATCGATATAGAAATCGATGTAGATGTAGATGCAGATGTAGATGGAAATGTAGATGTGGATGTGGATGTGGATGTGGATGTGGATGTAGATGTAGATGTAGTTAGATGTAGATGTAGATGTAGATGTAGATGTAGATGTAGATAAAGATGTAGATGTAGATGTAGATGTAGATGTAGATGTAGATGTAGATGTAGATGTAGATGTAGATGCAGATTCAGATGCAGATGCAGATGCAGATGCAGATGCAGATGCAGATGCAGATGCAGATGCAGATGTAGATTGTAGATGTAGATGTAGATGTAGATGTAGATGTAGATGTAGATGTAGATGTTGATGTTGATGTTGATGTAGATGTAGATGTAGATGTAGATGTAGATGTAGATGTAGTTGTAGATGTAGATGTAGATGTAGATGTAGATGTAGATGTAGATGTAGATGTAGATGTAGATGTAGATGTAGATGTAGATGTAGATGTAGATGTAGATGTAGATGTAGATGTAGATGTAGATGTAGATGTAGATGTAGATGTAGATGTAGACGTAGACGTAGACGTAGACGCAGATGCAGATGCAGATGCAGATGCAGATGCAGATGCAGATGTAGATTGTAGATGTAGATGTAGATGTAGATGTAGATGTAGATGTAGATGTAGATGTAGATGTAGATGTAGATGTAGATGTAGATGTAGATGTAGATGTAGATGTAGATGTAGATGTAGATGTAGATGTAGATGTAGATGTAGATGTAGATGTAGATGTAGATGTAGATGTAGATGTAGATGTAGATGTAGATGTAGATGTAGATGTAGATGTAGATGTAGATGTAGATGTAGATGTAGATGTAGATGTAGATGTAGATGTAGATGTAGATGTAGATGTAGATGTAGATGTAGATGTAGATGTAGATGTAGATGTAGATGTAGATGTAGATGTAGATGTAGATGTAGATGTAGATGTAGATGTAGATGTAGATGTAGATGTAGATGTAGATGTAGATGTAGATGTAGATGTAGATGTAGATGTAGATGTAGATGTAGATGTAGATGTAGATGTAGATGTAGATGTAGATGTAGATGTAGATGTAGATGTAGATGTAGATGTAGATGTAGATGTAGATGTAGATGTAGATGTAGATGTAGATATTGATGCCGATACAGATGCGGATGCGGATGCGGATGTGGATGTGGATGTGGATGTGGATGTGGATGTGGTTTGGATGTGGATGTGGATGTGGATGTGGATGTAGATGTGGATGTGGATGTGGATGTGGATGTGGATGTGGATTTGGATTAGGAAATAAATGAGGAAATAGAGGAGGATATGGATTTGGATATAGGACACCAGCATATCAGGAAACTACACTACAGTTCATCCACGATATTGGACTTGTTGTTTAAACCCTTTAAAATATACTCAAATTTAAGAACGCAGAAGAATAAGAAGAAGAAAGTTGCGAAGTTTTTCGTTGCGCAACTTTCCGTTCATTTGATCTTACGTTGTCTTCGGTAGTGTTCAACTTAGTAGTTTCTTTTTTTAGATCTTCCATTATAGATTTCTTTTCCTGCAAAATACATAGGCCTACATACCAAATGACTCATTTAAAACAGATGAAATTCAATGAAAATACATTTGATCCACTCATCAATCAATCCATCCTTAAAATCATATATCCATCAATAGACCTCCATTCATTTAAAGTTGAAAAGATAATGTTCACTAGGTGTGGAATTTAGCAATTAATTCCAGTATTTCAGATGTAGCTTGACTGATGACCAAAGCAAAGTTAAATAACTCTTTTGGAAAATTTTACTCATACCTTGTTTATATTTTTATCCAAGATAGCAGGTAAAAATAAATTGTCGAAAACATGTGAAAATGGCCCATGCCCTGAAAAATTAAATACGTGTGCATATTGCACCGAATTCAAAGTAATTAAAATCTATTTTACTTTTTTAAATTTACTTTTATTAGGCTTTTAAAAATTGAGCTTACTGAAAATGGCCGTTACATGTAATACAGTTACAACAATTTTATAATAACATTAAACCAGAATAGAAACCTCACCGAGATCATGGCATAAAGCAGCAATTTCAACACACAGAATATCTTTATCTGTTATGTTTAGCTCTGGTTGGTTTAGCCGAAGGTTTCTCACAAATTGGCCAGCCAGATGATAAACTCTGTAAGGTGAAAGAGATTCTTAACATTTTTTTTTAGATTATTAAAAAAATATATTTCTTAAGTTTGAGATTTTTCGATGAACACACACTTCTCTTAATTGTTTGGTGTAATGCACTTTTTGTCATGTGTTCTATTTATCAAATGTTGAAAAACAAATTTACTAATTAAATCAAGTTTTTATTTTTTATTTAAAATAATTTTTGAAATGATACAATTTTTTAAAAATTGATTAGCTACCCCAGCGAATGTTCGAATCTGTTGTGTCCCGCTCCTGGGTAGACGTAGTAGACCATGCCCAGCTGTTTGAGGAACCTGAGACGCTGGAAGATTGGCGTGTCTATGATGGCCTGGCATGCTGGGTTCACCTCAATATGGCCGTGGATTGGGTCGTTGTAGACCTGGTAGAATTTAAGCAGTTGCCTAAGAAATACAAGTACATTACAAAATGCATAATTAACTAAATGTTAATCTTAAACTATTCTTTATTTGGACGTACCTTCATCAGCTGTGTATTTGTCTCAAGACTCATTAGTTTTTCAAATATTTTTCGCACTTGAAGACACTCTACATAGCTGTTTAATGAAAATGTTATCATTGTATATTATTTTATTCAGTTTACACATATTTTAACTGATGTAGTGTCGTGGTTTCGACGTAGAACTACGATACACAGCTATGTGTCCAAAAAAACAGAAATGAAAAAAAAATGGCATGTATCTTATAAAAATTAAAATGATTGTATTGCGATAATTTTTATTTACCTTACACCTCTCATCATAAGGAGATTCATTTTTAAATTTGGAATATGTTGCCCTTCGATCTCTTCAGCTGTAATTAAACATTTTAATGTAACAATAGCTTTGAATATTTGCCTTTTTCTATTGTTTACTTATTTATGATGTTTAGATTTGTGGATGCTGGATAGTGTTTTCAAATGTTCAAGATTTCAGAAATTTCTACAATGTATTCTCATAACCAGACGTGTTTTGCTTACTTTCAAACACCGCAACTATTTTGTCCGACACACCGTTCTGTCGTAAGTACTCCCCAAGGTCTTCCTTGCTCCATGTCGACCAGTTTTTCAATTTCTTCATATCGAATTTAATGCTCTTATCTTCCGCCTCCTAATTGTACGCCAATATAAGTGCAATTAAAATTTAAGACTTTCATATTTTGAGATGCACAAATAGAATTTATTCAAATTTATTTTAAGCTATTTTCATAATTTTTGTTTACAACTTCAAATCGTATACAGTGTTTCTTAAATCAAATTGACAACTGCAGTGCATATTACAATGAGCATAAAAACCAGAAACTTAAAATTGTGAACTAGATGTATTAATCTCTCGATAGAGAATTCGCAAAGTTCGGTTTAAAAAACATCGTTAACAGGAAGGTTTAGGCAAGTTATGTTCTTAGTTTAGAATTCTTGAAAGACTCGAGTTCCTGTAAAAAAAACTGTAGGCAGCATTCCTACATAATAAAAAAATATGAAGAAGACAGTCAAGAGAAATAAAAATCTAGTAGATGTAAGTAATACTGATAGCCATAGCATTCGCAAATTTAATGAAACTCATTATAGCGCTACCAAACAATAATTTCTAACCTATACCTAAAAGAACAAAATCAAAAGATTATTCTCACCTAAGCTGGGTTTTAAGTCTATCTGAATGTGTGGCTTCTGCTTCTGTTTCTAATTGTTCTAATTGATTGAATTTTGTTTTTAAAATTACGTTTTCTTTAACCATTGAGTATTTTGTCTTCTTCTTTTTAAATAGTAATGTTGGAAATTATTTCCTCCAAAACTATTGAGTATAAATTATTAAAATGTATAGGCCTTCATACGAACTCAAGACTTTTCGGTTTAGCAACCATGAGCTTTACCAGCTCAACCAAGCCTACCCCACATGTAACCACGCCTACCCCACACGAATTTCTAATTTCCAAAGTAAGTTTGAACTTATTTTTAAGTAAAACATCTAGCAAATTAAATCAGTTTAATTGTTAAATGTTTAAAAATGTAAACAAAAATCTTTAGTGTAATTTTTTATTAGAATTTGATGAAATAGTCTTGCTTTATTTCTTTTTTTATGTCTGCGCCTGACAGGGAATGGAGCGAAAGCATTTTAAATTATACAATAAAGATATTATCTTTGAATAGTCACGTACAGTATATTTAGGCATATGTACACATGTGTATTTACATTGAAACTTTATATACACAAAAATAAAAATAAACTGAATTTACCCACATATTTTTTTGCCTCTTTTACTATCTCTGCCATCATAAAATAATGCTGTCGATGTTATACAGTTTTTAACAGTTTAGTTTGTATGAAGTTGCAAACATTTTCAAAAATAAATATATTATAGACAAGTCCTCTTGTGTTGAACTTGTTATCCTATCAGTGGTCGCAACGTTCAGTCCCAGCACTGTCAACAGTTCCACAGAAAGCCTTCTGGCATAACTTGTATCGATTGACGTTATTCAACCAGGCCTTGTTCGCTAGTGTAGTGAAGTAACACGGCGTTTAGCGGGAAGTTTCAGAGAAAAGTATTTATAGTTGTGTAATAAATATTGCAGACCAAGGTGATCGATAACCAGAGTATATAAAACATTAGTGTTGTTGGGACTAGGGGATATGGGGTAAGAGATTGGTCTGATACGGCTGAGTGAATCACACATATTGTGGCGGAAATAAATATTGATTAGCTTTATTCAATGTAAACGTGTGTAGAAAAGTAGCTTATGGGGTCAAGTGGTGAGGAGATGGAACGTTTATGTTCTGTTTAGGTCTATAAGCTATACATGTATCCAGGGGCGTAGCGAGGGGGGGGGGGGCGGGGGGTGCGGACCGCACCGGGTGACACCATTTAGGGGGGTGACACCAAGGCAAATAATAGCAAAATATATAGAGAAAAACTTGAGGGGGTGTTGCAAATCGAAAGTTTGAGGGGGGGTGCAAATCGAAAACTTGAGGGGGGGGGGGTGCAAATCGAAAGTTTGAGGGGGGGTGCAAATAAGAAATTTGAAAGTTTGTCCCCGGGAGGGGTCGCTACGCCTCTGGGGGGGGGGGTGACACCATTAAGTGCCGCACCGGGTTACACCCGACCTCGCTACGCCACTGCATGTATCTACAAATATTAACTGTTTACAATTGTACTTATAATTTAGTAAAATGTATCTGAGATTGTGATGTGCTTGTGAAAGTATAAATTTAGCCTAATTGCATTTAAAATGTGAAAAGCAATTACGGAAATCAAAACGAACCATTAAAAAACAAAATTCTACAATTGTGTGCGATTCATTAGTTGCCTTCGACAGGCAACAGTTGGGACATTTTATAGGCGTGACAAGTCAAAACTTATTCATTTTTTGACCTCAAAAGTTTCAGACAACTTGTAGACTTGTACTGACAGGTCCCAACTTATTTTTAGCACTAGGTAATCTGAAGCTTAGGACCGGGCGATTAAACTACAAAGAGCTTCCTGGTGGTGAAAATCGCTGACACAAATCTTAGCATTGTGCAAGACGAGACTGGTGTAGGCGCCAGGTCAACAAAAGGTAGCACAACACAGCACACTTCAAACCACAGCATAATCAGTTTTTATGTATATATATATATATATATATATATATATATATATATATATATATATATATATATATATATATATATATATATGTTTGTACATGTGTCCTTTAAATTGTGATAATAGAAAGGCATCTTCCCACACCGGTTCATTATATCTTAGTTCTACAACCTAGCTAGTGCGGTAAACAGGGTCCAGAGCTTGGGGTGTACATCACATGGTTTAAAACAGTTATTTCACCAATGGGTGGGGGTCTATTTTTGTTAATATGTTGGTTATTATGTTAGTTCAGCAGAACACTTACAGTAAATTGTATGAAACAAAATTCTTAAACGAATAGTTATTTTTTTACACAAAAACCGTTTTTAACAGTATACATTTTTGCCGAAAGTATTTTATTAGAAGTTTACCACACATCTTTAGACATTAGGGCGCTCACATTCTGTCTCGTATGACGTTTTTTTTTTTTCATAATACAACGTATCATTTAGTAATTCTATAAATTCAGCCTGCATACCGTTCCGAAACCCCACATTTAAAACAGCGTGATAAAAAGCTTGCTACAAAACACGTATAAAGTGTTATAAAAATTGTTTATTACATTTTTACTTTCTCGTATATATGTAGTATAGAGAAAGTATTGTAATCGTGCAAAAAAAAAATCGAGATTTTTACAAATCTCGACGTTTTACACCTCACTGATACGGAAAAACATAATTTTGAAATCTTGTCCGTATGTCTGTGTGTCTGTGTGTGTGTCTGTGTGTGTGTGTGTGTGTGTGTGTGTGTCTGTCTGTCTGTGTGTAAACACGATTACTTGAGTACCGTTACAGCTAGGTTGATGAAATTTCATATTTTATCAAAATCGTAGATCAGTATCAACTTTTGAGCGATTTCCGATAACCGGAAGTGGTACTTTTTCTACTTTGAATTTTTCAAAAGCCTATAACTTGAGTACTATTTCAGATAGATAAATGAAATTTCACCTGTAAGTAAAAGATCTAATTCTCTACCTTCTGTTAAATTTTGAATAATTTCCGTTGACGGGAAGTACTAATTTACGCTATTTCCGATTTCTCAAAAACGCATCTAAATTTATTAAGTACTAATAATATTGCGCACCATTATGAACATCTTTATTCGGCGTTCGCTTGGTGTGCAATACTTTTTTCTATGAGATTCTATTTTATTTTAAAAAGTTTATGTATTTAAAATGGATTAAAAATCATAACTATTTACCGAGTTCCCATCCCCTGTTATTTTATATAAGAATTTTCGAGAAAGTTTAGGGGAGATCACTCCCGGTTTATTGTTTCAAGGAATGATAAATTTAAATGATTTAATTAAAATGTGACGAATGTGTATTTTAGCTTTGTTTTTGAAATAAATGTAGTAGCTTTTCTGTATACTTTTTCTTCTTTTTCAAAAAAAATGTCTGAACATATAATTAGCTTACATCTATAAGGTGAATGGAAACAGTCGTGTAAAAAGATATTGGTTTGAGCTTGATGTAATATTTCAAATGTTTGTATGTACATTCACAAAGGCTAACCGAACCTGTAAGCGACTGTGATTTACAGCGTTCCCTAACTAATCAAGCATTATGAAATATTATGTAATACAATAAAATGTCCCCTTATTTGATTCGACATACATTATTATTCGAATATCGCGGTCTTGAATCACATAGTGACTTGTCCTACAGTTGTGCAGATTGCCATTTTAAAATCGATGGTAATATGTAATATAGTCTATATACTATCAACTAGATGGTTTCCTGTCAGAAAATTCTGCTTGTGTATCCTGCAGAGAGATACGCTTTTGTATTTTAGCACAACCTTTTATTACGTGTTTTTATGAGAGACAGGGCAGTTGGTAGGCTCTTGTAAAATGTTACAATCTACACACAACTCTTCTGTTACAATGCTGTTACAAGGAGTAGAGTTTTCCGTTTCGTAGAGAATTAGTTTTAGTTTTACATGTCATATACAAGTGATACAAGACCCACAAGAATTATTTTTCAAATATGAAAAAGTGTACAGACGTTTTATAATGCTGCAACATTCCGTTTAAAAGGGAACTACAATGTAGTATCAAATGTTTTTAAAGTCTAATAAGCCTATAAATTTCAAGTTTTCATCTACCAACTTCGCTAACTGTATATTATTTAGATTACATTTAACTAGTAAAAAAGACATGAGAAAGCAATAACACCAATTTTGTTTAATCATTTTTGACTACATTATCTGACACATGCATACTGGAGCTCGGCTGGGGAAAAAAGAGAAGCCATAAACTTAAAATACAAATTGACTAAACATAAATGAAGTTTTGCTAATTAAAAAATAAACCAGTTTTTAGTAAATTAGTTTTAATTAGCTAAGATGGTGATACACACTGCATAACGATGTAATAAAACCTACTTGGTTAAACTTAGTAACGTTTCTGTCAAACCATTCTTTCGATGCGCAAACTATCGCATCGTTTGTAGCTTTGTCTTTAGTGCAACTGAATACTCTAATTATCTTCTCGCTGAATTTGTTAGGGCTAAGAATTGTACTGACCTGAGAACAAAGGTTTAAGTTCGCTACATTATAGAGCAAGTAGCCTTAATAAAGTGTATGAATCATAGTATTTTGAGAGAATGTGTACTAATATGTGAGCTCAATAATTCAAGTAACAACAATTCTACAGTAAACGATAACTCACATGTTCGCTCCTCAGTTGTGTGCCGTTGTTAATATCGTCCTTATGGTAGACGTTCAGCCTCTCAGTTGGGTTGTTTTTCTTCATCCCGAAATCCAAGTTAGCAAACTGTTAATTTAGGGTTGTTGGGAAGTGTACGTTTAATTTTTTTTCATTTAACATCACTTATTTTTTATTTTTTTTAATTATTATTATTAATGTATTCTTAAGCCACGATGAAGATCTGACAGTATAAAATCAATGTATAAGTTACAAATTTGCATGAAACGAAATTAATTTATGAAAGCTCGTTATCGCAATAATTGACTTACACCAACAACAAAATCTTTGGGCTTTAGTGTTTTACCAGATTCGCCAGCAATTGTTATTATTTCGTGTTGAATTTTAGAAATTTTATCCTGAAAGGAATTAAGAAAGATAAAAACAGTTAAACCAGCAATTGATATACTTAATGAAGTTTCCTCAAAGTTAACAATAAATGGCTAAAGGTGAAAGTTTCATTTTTTAACCTCTTGCCCCCACTATATTTTTCTTTTGTAACAAGTCGTAACGTTTTACTCCACCAATTCGTCAACATACCTATTTCAGCCACCGCACGGTTCCCTACCCTCGCATCTTTACATGAGTCTGATCTGTCGAATTTTAAAGTAACAAAGAGAAAAAAACTGAATAAACCTACAGTGGTCATTTCGTCAGCAGCAACAGGGTAACTCTCGTAGACAGTCTTGTAGAGATCCCTCTTGAAGATTCGTTCAATCAAATCACGTGACTCTTTCAGTCTGGGGTCTGGGCTGTAGAGGATCTTAAAGAGGACGTTGTCGGTCAGTTGTGAGAAGGCTTCCATGTCCTGGCTACACTCGGACATCCGGTACTCTCTGTAGAACACATTGACTCAGTAGCGGAGGTTGCTACTTACCCAACACTTTCAATGTGTCATTTGTTTAGTGTAAAACTACTGCTTGTAACTATGGCTTGGAGTTCATTCTCCGATGTAAATATGGAGACAGTGCTGTTATTTTGTATATCTTAATAATATTATTTTATCTTATTTACCCTGACGTTCCCTTGAATAAGATGAACTCGTTGGCCTTGATCAGAGCGTCATTTACCCTTATAATAAGCAAACATTATGAATATTTATATATATATATATATATATATATATATATATATATATATATATATATATATATATATATATTTATATATATATATATATATATATATATATATATATATATATATATATATATATATATATATATATATATATATATATATATATATATATTTACGGGCATATTTATAAGTAACTGTTTTGAATTGTTTAGGTGTGTTCGTCATAACAAAAGATTTCACCATCACAAACATCCACAATTTTTGAATTAGATGTGTACAAAATTACTAAAGCTTTCACAATTACAAGCAACCACAACTTTTGAATTAAATGTGTACAAAATTACTAAAGCTTTCACCGTTACAAGTAACCCCAACCTACATCGCCTCTATGGCACACTTGACCTTGTGTTGATAAGCTTTTTTGTGTAGTGTAAATCTCGTGTAGAACATGTTGTACAGGTTGGACATCTCCTGTTGATACAATAGTGTTGGATGTTGTAGTGCTTTTGGTTTCATTACGGTAAAAATCTACTACATAAACAGGAGAAAATGCCATAAAACGCCACCTTTTCTCGGATACAAATCTGCATCTGTCGATCAACTTCTATAACTCTGGCAAACTTCATGTAGCGGAAATAGTCGAAATTGTTTTTAAAACCAAGATGGTGGCAGTCTCGGGCGAAATAATCGAATTTATCCACGTCAATGCCGTTACGTTTGTTGGAGACTATCTGTAGACATTTTATTTTAAATCATAACAAAATTGCAGGTTTATAAGTTCAGAAATAACACATTTCTCAAATATATATGTTTAGATTTATCTATTTATTTATATACTGACAGTGATTAACTAACTCAGCCACTGACCTCATATAAATATGCCTTTTCTTTTCCTCTTCCTTTATATTTCCATTCCTTAAAAAATGTCAAGACCAGTTTATGCTTTAGATTATCAATAAACTATTTGAAACCGTTACTGCTGTATTTAGAAAAACAATTCTTTATTGTGAAAACTTGCGTGAAGAGAACAGTCGCTATTTTAAATTTTTAAATATCGTCTCAAAATATTCTCCATATTTTACTGCTTGAAAGTATTAACTATCACCAGAAATTTGTTCAATATTTACCCCCCTGTAAGTATGAACTATCGCCAGAAATGTGTTCAATATTTACCCCTTATAAGTATGAACTATCACCAGAAATATGTTCAATATTTACCCCCTCTAAGTATGAGCTATCGCCAGAAATTTGCTCCTCTATAAAGGCGATGTCGTCATCATCAATCCCAAAGTTTCTCAGCTTTCCGTCGTCTTCCATCAAGCGGTTTTCATTTATTAAGTGGCGAAACATTCTTACTGATATCGACTCGTGCTAGAAATACAATTATTGCTATTATAAGTGTGGGTTTTTGTTTAAGATTTGTTGCAATTCATATAACTCAAATTTGACCCGAGACTATTGCAGCAATTTTTAGATGCATTCGTCTCCGAAGACAATGCAAGATTATCTATTTTTAATCTTTTATTGTTATATATTTTGGTTAATGTGTGATTTAGGATTTAGGACGAGGGTTTAAGTTAGAATTCAGTGTAAATATTTGCCTGTAAGTGTATCATGGTTTTCTTTCGAATACCTTAGGCGTAGTTGTCGTACTTGTGTGTGTGTGTGCTTAGAGCCATTTTTAACTTGATATAGTTTCAGTACATCTTGTCTTTTTGAGTGATGAAATAACACTATGAGTGAAGCAGGGGAAGTTAATGAATGGACTCAGCTTATTCTACACTCCTCTGTGTATAAATTATAAAATAGTTTGACCCTATTTGTCCGGCTCCCACACTCTCAAGTCATGAAAACAACAACTTAACAATACGGTCTAGCGGCTAAAATGAGTGCTCCAACAGTTTGTCTTACTTTTATATTTGTTTCTTTCGTTTCTTTAGTTCCTTCTTTTTCTTCGGTTTCTTGTTTTTCTTTAGCGTCATTTTTGCCTTCTTTTACACTTGGGAGAAACTCTTGATCGAAGAAATGTGACAAAATGCCATGACCTACAAGAAAAAACTTTTAATAAATATCATGACCTGGTACAGAAGGAAATTTAAGATGGCTGTAAAGCCCGGATATCAATAACGTGTACATTAACTTAAACTGAGAAAACTACTCTTAAACCTGGTTTGAAATGTATATTGAATCACATTTTATTTTGTTATTTGTTTAAACAATAATATTTCATCTTACCCAAATCATGACACAGACCGGCTATCTCCACACACAAAATGTCTTTGTCAGAAATACCCAGGAATGGTTGGTTTTGTTTTAAGATTCGAACAAACACACCAGCCAAATAACATGTTCTGAAACAGCCGTTGAAAAAAAATATAAGTGTTTATATATATATATATATATATATATATATATATATATATATATATATATATATATATATATATATATATATATATATATATATATATAATTCGAGCATGCATATTTCATATATAACGAGCACTACTGTTGATTTCTATTGATGTACAAACCCCAATGAGTGCTCGAATCTGTTGTGTGCCGCCCCTGGATAGACATAGTAGACCATCCCGAGTTGTTTGAGGTAGCGCAGCCTCTGGAACTGGGGAGTGTCCACTATACACTGACAGGCAGGGTTCAGTTGGATGTGGCCGTGGACTGGGTCGTTGTACACCTGGTGTTGACAACATTTAAAGCTCAACATTCCTACAGTAGACTCGCACATCACTGCCGCACTTAAAAGTTCCAATATTTACACATATTTCTTATGTCAAATAGGTACTAATATTCTAAATACATTTTCTGTTGTAAACATGTACATTAAATTAAAAAAAACGAATCTGCCAACCTTTAAATTAGATGTCAGGGTTGAGTTACTTTGACGAACAGCATCGTTTAGAAAATCGCCTATTCTGAAAATTTACGAGACCAAAAAATTGTAACCTATTTTTTAAAATTAACTCTATTTAGCAAGGTATTTTTGTCACCTCTATTCAAGCTTTAGGCTGAGCAAGTACGAAGGAGTAGAGCACACAACGTATAGTCGTTAATATACGAATTGTCTAAAAGCTTACCTTGTGTTGTGAATAGTCCTTTTCTCCATTTGATCTTGTAAAAAATGTTAGTTGGAATAAATCTATAAAATTACATGAAACATAAACATATTATATATATATATATATATATATATATATATATATATATATATATATATATATATATATATATATATATATATATATATATATATATTTATATGTGATGTGAAGTCTCACCTTACCCTAATAACCAACCCATTTCCCCCAATCATTTGTTGTTATTGATTGCATAACACCATATAATTCACAATTATGAACACAAAATATACATCAATATTTTAGCAATGCACGCATTTTTATCCAAATTTGCAGTAATTTTAAATTAGTTATTTAGTGATATATCAATTGGCAAATGCAAACTTTTTGTTTAGAACACAAAAAAAAATCAGAAGTTCCTAGAACAGAAGTCCACGTTACATACTTTGTTGAATCCGCTGGTCCTAGCGATGGTAACAAGAAAACCAATCAACCCCAGCTCATGCTGCTAATGTTCAAACTTTCCACCCTCTGTAACCTCCCATATACAAGTATTGGTGTGGCGTTTAACACGCTGATCGATTTGTTTCACGAGAAATGTACGGACACATTATTCAAGTGCACAAAATTGGGGCATGTTCACATCAGACAGGTACACATCAGTCATGTACACATCACTCAGGTACACATCACTCAGGTACACATCAGACAGGTACACATCAGTCATGTACACATCAGTCATGTACACATCAGTCATGTACACATTACTCAGGTACACATCAGACAGGTACACATCAGTCATGTACACATCACTCAGGTACACATCAGTCAGTCACACATCAGTCAGGCACACATCAGTCAGGTACACATCAGTCAGGTACACATCACTCAGGTACAAATCACTCAGGTACACATCACTCAGGTACACATCAGTCAAGTACGTATCAGTCAGGTACACATCACTCAGGTACACATCAGTCAAGTACACATCAGTCAGGTACACATCACTCAGGTACACATCAGTCAAGTACGTATCAGTCAGGTATAAAAAACCTTGTATGTCAAGCTACTGAGATGAACACACCTAAATCAGTGTGCACGCAACCAAAGCTGTGTAGCTGGCACTACACAATATCATACACAGAAATACGTTTTTCTAACTTTTTTTCTGCAACAGTTCTTTACATCATTTAAACATGTGTACACTCATGCAATAACAGAATTCACGTCTTTAACAGAAAATGTGAATAAAAAATAAAAACAATTTTAGGATTTATCGCGGGAAGAAAACAAACACGGAAGATAAATTTATGCGGCTAACGCCGGTAAAAAAAAATCAATAAACTTCCTGTGTTATGTGTCAGCCGTAGTGTGTTGTCTAATGTGCTAGGTATAAATAAAGTGTGATTAATACATCGACTACTATGATTTACAGACCTACCGTGTTGTGTCAGTCAGATGTAAGGTGTGATTGATAGACTTACTGTCTGTGTGTACAACATAGAGTAAACATATCACACTGCCTGCGTATAACATACATACCATTGCCATTTCCTTTACCTAAGTGTCAGACAGGTTCCATGACGTGGCTTTATCATAGACTACCATAGACTCTGTGTGACAGATCAACAAAGATAGAGTAGAATAAACATGGGAACTAGAGGTGGATTCGTCATTTGCGTTGGGGGGGGGGGGGGGAGATTTGCTGAAGGGATTAGCTACTACTAAGCGTAATACTACTACCAGAGGCGTCGCGAGGCGGAGGCGGGGGGTGCGGAACGCACGGGATGACACCATTTAGGGGGTGACACCAAGACAAAAAATTGAAAAATGTGTAGAAGAAAAATGCTTTTTGTCAGTTTAATGAATGGTTAATAAGAGTTAAAAAGTCTTATTAAAAGCAAATCGAAGATTCCGACATAGGGTAGGGGTTGACAACTGGACGTAAACCAGCTGATTATAGAGCTGTACTATATACACTATATATATATATATATATAGTATATATATATATATATATATATATATATATATATATATATATATATATATATATATATATATATATATATATATATATATAAACTGATACTTTTTTTTGGGAGGGGGGGGGGAAGGCACCATTAGGTGCCGCACCGGTGGCTTCTTATCAATTCCGCACCTGCACTGAATAGCCTGGATTGGACACCACAATATATTGTAATTATATCGACATTAGTTTCATCGACTAATGAAATAACGTGGGAGATAAACCCTGTAAGCCCGGGTAATGATCAGCGCAGTAATATGCACTAGAGTTTTATTTATCTGGACCCACCTGCCCGCTCGATATAGTTTCCAACCGGACAACTTCCATTGTTATATTGTCCGCGTGTTGCAGCATCAGGCTGCTATAAACGTTTATGTTTTTTTTAGTCTAGGTTTATCTTTTCGTTGTGTACTGAGGTTTCTTAAACATTAGTAGCTACCCCTGGTATTATTCTCTTGAACTTAAATTACTGCCACCTTCAGTAACCGCCCCTGATTACAATTTATTGACATTCAGTTGCCGCCCCTGATAAAATCTCGAGTCTAATAGAAATCATACGACCAGTTCTAGAAACCGTCGTCAGCTGGCACACCAGATTACACACAAGTGTAGTTACAGTTCTTCACACTTGCTGGCACCGGTTCGGTGACTTAGACATATTGTGTAACAACAGTGTTTCTTTCAGACTTGATTCTCCGAGGGGAGAGGGGGTATTTTCATGGGGGGGGGGGGGTGGACTAAATTTTCCTGGAGCAGGCACTACTAAAAGTAAATAACTTTTTACATACATTCTATTTCGTCCGAAGAGATGCCTGAAAGCTGAATTAAACACTGAATCCTAAACATATCACTACGTTTAATGTTTTTCTTTTAGAAAAATGATGTTTGCACCTTAGACCCGATTTTTTTAAATTTTGTTTTTGTTTTTTATTAAAACGTGCTTTTCCAAGAAAATTGTGATATAATTGTGGCTTAATGTTGATGCAATTACGGCTTAAAGGTGATATAATTATAGTTCAATGGTGATATAATTATGGCTCAATGGTGATATAATTATAGCTCAATGGTGATATAATTATGGCTCAATGGTGATATAATTATAGCTCAATGGTGATATAATTATGGCTCAATGGTGATATAATTATAGCTCAATGGTGATATAATTATGGCTCAATGGTGATATAATTATAGCTCAATGGTGATATAATTACGGCTTAAAGGTGATATAAGTATGGCTCAATGGTGATATAATTAAGGCTCAATTGTGATATAATTAACGCTCACTGGTGATATAATTATGGCTCAATGGTGATATAAGTATGGCTCAATGGTGATATAATTATAGCTCAATGGTGATATAATTATGGCTTAATTAATGGTGATATAATTATGGCTTAATTAATGGTGATATAATTATAGCTCAATGGTGATATAAGTATGGCTCAATGGTGATATAATTATAGCTCAATGGTGATATAAGTATGGCTCAATGGTGATATAATTATGGCTCAATGGTGATATAATTATAGCTCAATGGTGATATAATTAAGGCTCAATGGTGATATAATTATGGCTTAATTAATGGTGATATAATTATGGCTCACTGGTGATATAAGTATGGCTCAATGGTGATATAATTAACGCTCACTGGTGATATAATTATGGCTTAATGGTGATATAAGTATGGCTCAATGGTGATAAAATTATGGCTCAATGGTGATATAATTATGGCTCAATGATGATATAATTATAGCTCAATGGTGATATAATTATGGCTCACTGGTGATATAATTAACGCTCACTGGTGATATAATTAACGCTTACTGGTGATATAATTATGGCTTAATGGTGATATAATTATGGTTTAATGGTGATATAATTAACGCTCAATGGTGATATAATTATGGCTCAATGGTGATATAATTAACGCTCAATGGTGATATAATTAATGCTCAATGGTGATATAATTAACGCTCAATGGTGATATAATTATGGCTCAATGGTGATATAATTAACGCTCAATGGTGATATAATTAATGCTCAATGGTGATATAATTAACGCTCAATGGTGATATAATTAATGCTCAATGGTGATATAATTATGGCTTAATGGTGATCTCACACTGACATGACAAACACGGACACCAGATAAAGTGGAAAGTTGAGGCGTGAAGAACTGGACACGTGAGCAGATATAAATTTGTTTAATTACTGCGAAAATTGACAGGTGTTTAACAAAAGTAAAATGTAATGCCTAAAATTGACAGATGCTTTTAACAAAGATACAATTTATAATGCCTAAAATTGACGGATGTTTAACAAAAGTAAAATGTAATGCCTAAAATTGACAGATGTTTTTAACAAAGATAATATATAACGCCGAAAATTGACAGATGTTTAATGTAATTTAAATGTAATGCCTAAAGTGACTGAATAGGCCAAAAAAAAAAGATTCACAACTTTTAGTGTGAAAAATTAATAGAAGATATTTGACAAAAATATAGTAAATATGCCTACTTAAATCTGAAAGAGTATGCTTTTAAAAGATTGTGATTTAATAACTTCTAACATAAGACGTCATAAACTAATATAAAGAAATAAATGCAATAATGTCGCATTAATTTTTTTTTAAATATTTAAACAACTAACTAGATTGTCAGAATAAATAAGCGACACGAGGCAGTTACTGATGAAGGTGGATGGAAGTAACATATTATTTTATCATGAATATATAGCAAAGATTGGTCAAGAGTACAAAAATTGGTCTCAAACAAGCATACACAATAAACAAATAATTTACATAAACATTGTGAATTATATCAGAATAATATATATATTTAAGTATTTCATTGCTCACCAAATATATCACTCAATAAATATTATATCACATCTTCAATATTACAGCAATCAACTAATGTTACAACACGATTTGAACCTTACATCACTCACCAAATGTTATATTACTTCTTCAATATTATATCACTCACAGATATTGTACATCACTTCTTCAATATTTTATCACTTACCAAATATTACATCACACCCCAAATGTGACCACTTTTCAAATAATACTTCATTCAATAAATATTACAATTTTCAACATTGCCCAGAAAGCGATGATCTGTTTTTTTTATTAATGTTGGTTTTAAAGTTCTATTCTTTTATAAACAACATTATTTACCCTGAGATTTCGCTCTCATTATCTTTAAAACTTATTTTTACCCAGCGAGTACAACACAATATATAGCCATTGCTAACATCTGTTGTAAACTACGTAGCATTATCAGCCGTACTGCAACATATGGCTATTGATGATCTTTACATGTTTATTTATCTAGATCGTTTTGTTTAACAAACACTTCTTTGCGAAATATTCTCAAGTATGGAAATTTTAATAATTTACTTCTAAGAAATGTTATTGGATTTTTTTAACAGTTCTGCCAAGAGATATAAATGATTTTTTCACGACTTGAATAGTGGCTTGAACTTTTTGTAAATGTTTTGCGCAAGTTTGATGACGTCATCTTGCTGTCTATCTACAAACTGTTCTTGAATCAGCTGTTGAATGTCGCTCACCATCTCCTCTTCTTCGTGTTTCTGTAGTTCAAATAAATGAAAATCCAAAGAAATTAATGTTTATTTTTCGATGCTCTATTCACAGAGTTTCCTAACTAGTTGTCTTTAAAGAACCATTTACCAGCTTATTCCGTAAAGTTGATGTTTTACTGTTAACAATGTGGAGAGTGTTACACGATGGTTCAATCAGAACTATTTACGCGACAACGACGAACCAATCGATATATTTTGTTTATATATAATTATGTACAAAGTACTTATTTTAAAAATAATTATTTTTATAATAATGTATAGGCCTACTATTCACAAACGTATTTTTCAAACTCAGCTTAAATACAAATATCACTTTTGTTTCTAAAACAATTTGTTGTATGTAAGTTATGTTTTTTTTTTTGTTTTTCAAAAGAAAATAAACGCCAACATTTTTATGAAAACGATTATAGTAAGCATGAGTTAGATATGTGACGGAAGGTGGTAACATGTCTACTAGTTCACTTCGTCATGGTCTGTTTTAGTGTAGCAGACGACACCAGATTAGTCAGAGAACAAACGCCCACCTTTTGCCTGTCTTAGTGTAGCAGACGACACCAGATTAGTCAGAGAACAAACGCCCACCTTCTGCCTGTCCTGGGTCTCCTGCCAGACTTTGTACCAGGCTAGACACGCCTCTGTTACCGTCTGCCGTCTCACGTGGTCTGACGTCTTACTGTACACACGGACGTGCATCTCATCAAACGTCACGGGCCTCAGGATGTTGCTGCACTACAGGGGTTAAATCATTTACATCAGCACTACAGTGGTTAAGTCATTTACATCATTTACATCAACACTACAGGGGTTAAATCATTTACATCAACACTACAGGGGTAAAATCATTTACATCATTTACATCAACACTACAGGGGTAAAATCATTTACATCATTTACATCATTTACATCAACACTACAGGGGTAAAATCATTTACATCATTTACATCAACACTACAGGGGTTAAATCATTTACATCAACACTACAGGGGTAAAATCATTTACATCAACACTACAGGGGTAAAATCATTTACATCAACACTACAGGGGTAAAATCATTTACATCATTTACATCAACACTACAGGGGTAAAATCATTTACATCATTTACATCATTTACATCAACACTACAGGGGTAAAATCATTTACATCATTTACATCAACACTACAGGGGTAAAATCATTTACATCATTTACATCAACACTACAGGGGTGAAATCATTTACATCATTTACATCATTTACATCAACACTACAGGGGTGAAATCATTTACACCATTTACATTAACACTACAGGGGTAAAATCATTTACATCATTTACATCAACACTACAGGGGTAAAATCATTTACATCATTTACATCAACACTACAGGGGTAAAATCATTTACAGCTGCACTACAATTGTACCAGATAACTTAACATACCGATACTGGTTATTCTTATTTTAAAACAAGACGTCATTGCATTTATATATGAATAAACATGTATCATATCCAGAATATATATACTATGGTTACATTGTGTACGTCTTATAAAAGCACTGTGCAAGTAATAAAATAAAAACCAGTAGAATTTCTAATTATTTTATTGATTTCAATATATTAAAATTACGATTTTCTAACTAAAATCTGTTTCTTTATTTAACAATAATTAGTTTGGTAATTATATGTTAAAGAAATATTACTTCTAAATATTTATTCAAAATGTTACAGGTTGGAATTTATAAATAGATACTATGTTATTATTTTGAGAAAAAAAAAGGTGATTATATTGTGTTTTGAAGTTTCTTGGCAATGTAACAATATCTTCGTAAATAAATTGTCATTTACTTACCTCAGCTTTAGTAAAGTATCTGGCTTGATTTGGTGTACGTTTGGAGAAAACTTTTAACCTCTCGACTGGGTTTTCGCTTTTCATTCCGAAATCAAGAAAAAGAGCCTGGTTTAAGAAAGTAAAATATATAGACATCTATAATAATTTATAATTTGGTTCAAATGACTCTTTAAAGTGAAATCTGTAATAGTGTGACTTTCTACATGAACTTCTCAAAGAAGGCTATTTGCACTACACCAGGATGCATGAATTGTATATTAATTACTGCTTAGTTCTATTAATTGGATAAATATTTTATCTACAGATATGTTATAACATCATAGAGAATTACTTATTGTTCGTACCTGAACAACATAATCATCGTTATTCTTTAAATTCTTTTCTTCATAATGTTTGGAAATGATCGCTCCAACTTCCTCTTCTAAAAACTTTTTTCGCTGTAGTTAAAATTGTTTAGATAATTTCAAAAGGTTAATCAATTAATGGGGTCTACTGGAGCAGATTATCAAAGTCACAATAATCATGACAATCTGCTTAGCCTCTCACTTCCCCCCCCCAACCCACCCCCTTCCTTCCCCGGCATTAAAAGAACATTTTTACGATTCCTTCCTTGTGTAAGAGAAACCTTTGGGAAAAACCAATTGAAAAAATAAAAGTTAGCGTGCTGTAGCTTGGTTACAGCACATTAAAGAATTGTATGAGAGTTTAAAGTTACAAAAAATTTGACAACTGAAAAACCATTACACTTCTCAAATGTGAAAGTTAAAACGGATTAGACAATGAAAAAAAAATTACGCTTCTCAAAGTTACAACGGATTGGACAATTAAAAAAGCGTTACACTTCTCAGCTATGATAGTTTAAAGTTACCAAAAATTTGACAACTAAAAAACCATTACATTTCAACGCTGAGATAGTTTTAAGTTACAACGGATTGGACAATTTAAAAACCGTTACACTTCTAAGCTGGGAGAGGATGGGCGGACTCTCCCACACACACGTGTAGAGGTCACGTCTGAACATCCGGTTTATTATCTCTTTCGCCTTCTCAAGGTCATCTCTCTTCTGCGGGTGTTCCTCCAGTACATTGTGGTGGAGGATCTTAAAGAGGATGTTGTCGTTCAGCTCAATGTACGCCTTCATGTCCTCGATACACTCCGATATAGAGAGTTCTTTTCTGTGGATGGTGATCATAGGTTCAGGTTATTGTTTTATAAGTCAGTGCTCATATGTTCAAGTTATAGTTTTATAAGTCAGTTCTCATATGTTCAAGTTATAGTTTTATAAGTCAGTGCTTATATGTTCAGATTATAGTTTTATAAGTCAGTGCTTATATGTTCAGGTTATAGTTTTATAAGTCAGTGCTCATATGTTCAAGTTATAGTTTTATAAGTCAGTGCTTATATGTTCAGGTTATAGTTTTATAAGTCAGTGCTCATTGTTGTGTAGACGGTGGTATCAACACACAGGTAACCAATGAAGAAAAAACGTTTATATGTATGGATATAACAGTAAGCATACCTGTAAAAATAGTATAATATCTAAATATGTAAATGTATGTATGTATTTCTAATTGATGCAACAAAACTCACCCATCCGAGCCAGTGAATGTCATGTGTTTGTCAGCTAACTTTAACACGTCAGTTAACCTGTCAGGATGTGTATGACAAAACATGTGTGACATGATTAATGTGGGTTACTATCAGACAAAATCATTTCTACGTTATAAGCTGTAGTTAATAACATAGGCATCATTGCAACAATTTAAAGTTTTAATAGAGCAGATACTAAAACACATCTAAGTAAAGTATTACATGATCTCCAGCCCAAAGTTGACCTTGTGATGATAAGCGTATTTGTGTAGTGTATAGCGCGTGTAGAACATGTTGTACAGGTTGGGAATCTCCTGTAGATAAGATTTTCATGGATTAACAGGTAAGACACGGAGGTAAACAACAGGTAAACTTTCATGCATGCAGAGAGCAACATTTACTTCCAAAGGAACATAGCAGTTAACATTTAAAACGTCTTCGGCTATCTAGTTACTGATGAATTAATGTGTTTCTAGTCTGTAACTTGCCTTTATTTCTAACCTATAACTTACCTTGTCCCTGGCCTAAAACTTACCTGTATCCGACCAATAACTTACCTGTATTTAACCTGTAACTTACCTTCTCTCTAATACAGATCTGAACCTCCCCTACCTCGTCTCTGATACAGATCTGAACCTCCCCTACCTTTGATACAGATCTGAACCTCCCCTACCTTTAATACAGATCTGAACCTCCCCTACCTTTGATACAGATCTGAACCTCCCCTACCTTTGATACAGATCTGAACCTCCCCTACCTTTGATACAGATCTGAACCTCCCCTACCTTTGATACAGATCTGAACCTCCCATACCTTGTCTCTGATACAGATCTGAACCTCCCATACCTTGTCTCTGATACAGATCTGAACCTCCCCTACCTTTGATACAGATCTGAACCTCCCCTACCTTTGATACAGATCTGAACCTCCCATACCTTGTCTCTGATACAGATCTGAACCTCCCCTACCTTTGATACAGATCTGAACCTCCCCTACCTTTGATACAGATCTGAACCTCTCCTACCTTGTCTCTGATACAGATCTGAACCTCCCCTACCTTTGATACAGATCTGAACCTCCCCTACCTTTGATACAGATCTGAACCTCCCCTACCTTTGATACAGATCTGAACCTCCCCTACCTTTGATACAGATCTGAACCTCCCCTACCTTTGATACAGATCTGAACCTCCCCTACCTTTGATACAGATCTGAACCTCCCCTACCTTTGATACAGATCTGAACCTCCCCTACCTTTGATACAGATCTGAACCTCCCCTACCTTTGATACAGATCTGAACCTCCCCTACCTTTGATACAGATCTGAACCTCCCATACCTTGTCTCTGATACAGATCTGAACCTCCCATACCTTGTCTCTGATACAGATCTGAACCTCCCCTACCTTTGATACAGATCTGAACCTCCCCTACCTTTGATACAGATCTGAACCTCCCCTACCTTGTCTCTGATACAGATCTGAACCTCCCCTACCTTTGATACAGATCTAAACCTCCCCTACCTTGTCTCTGATACAGATCTGAACCTCCCCTACCTTTGATACAGATCTGAACCTCCCATACCTTGTCTCTGATACAGATCTGAACCTCCCATACCTTGTCTCTGATACAGATCTGAACCTCCCCTACCTTTGATACAGATCTGAACCTCCCCTACCTTTGATACAGATCTGAACCTCCCCTACCTTGTCTCTGATACAGATCTGAACCTCCCATACCTTGTCTCTGATACAGATCTGAACCTCCCCTACCTTTGATACAGATCTGAACCTCCCCTACCTTCTCTCTAATACAGATCTGAACCTCCCATACCTTGTCTCTGATACAGATCTGAACCTCCCCTACCTTGTCTCTGATACAGATCTGAACCTCCCCTACCTCTGATACAGATCTGAACCTCCCCTACCTTTGATACAGATCTGAACCTCCCCTACCTTTGATACAGATCTGAACCTCCCCTACCTTTGATACAGATCTGAACCTCCCCTACCTTTGATACAGATCTGAACCTCCCCTACCTTTGATACAGATCTGAACCTCCCCTACCTTTGATACAGATCTGAACCTCCCCTACCTTGTCTCTGATACAGATCTGAACCTCCCCTACCTTTGATACAGATCTGAACCTCCCCTACCTTTGATACAGATAAGAACCTCCCCTACCTTGTCTTTGATACAGATAAGAACCTCCCCTACCTTGTCTTTGATACAGATCTGAACCTCCCCTACCTTTGATACAGATCTGAACCTCCCCTACCTTTGATACAGATCTGAACCTCCCCTACCTTTGATACAGATCTGAACCTCCCCTACCTTTGATACAGATCTGAACCTCCCCTACCTTTGATACAGATCTGAACCTCCCCTACCTCTGATACAGATCTGAACCTCCCCTACCTTTGATACAGATCTGAACCTCCCCTACCTTTGATACAGATCTGAACCTCCCCTACCTTTGATACAGATCTGAACCTCCCCTACCTTTGATACAGATCTGAACCTCCCCTACCTTGTCTCTGATACAGATCTGAACCTCCCCTACCTTTGATACAGATCTGAACCTCCCCTACCTTTGATACAGATCTGAACCTCCCCTACCTTTGATACAGATCTGAACCTCCCCTACCTTTGATACATATCTGAACCTCCCCTACCTTGTCTCTGATACAGATCTGAACCTCCCCAACCTTTGATACAGATCTGAACCTCCCCTACCTTTGATACAGATCTGAACCTCCCCTACCTTTGATACAGATCTGAACCTCCCCTACCTTTGATACAGATCTGAACCTCCCCTACCTTGTCTCTGATACAGATCTGAACCTCCCCTACCTTGTCCCTGATACAGATCTGAACCTCCCCTACCTTTGATACAGATCTGAACCTCCCCTACCTTTGATACAGATCTGAACCTCCCCTACCTTGTCTCTGATACAGATCTGAACCTCCCCTACCTTGTCTCTGATACAGATCTGAACCGCCCCTACCTTTGATACAGATCTGAACCTCCCCTAGATACAGATCTGAACCTCCCCTACCTTTGAAACAGATCTGAACCTCCCCTACCTTGTCTCTGATACAGATCTGAACCGCCCCTACCTTTGATACAGATCTGAACCTCCCATACCTTGTCTCTGATACAGATCTGAACCTCCCCTACCTTGTCTCTGATACAGATCTGAACCTCCCCTACCTTGTCTCTGATACAGATCTGAACCGCCCCTACCTTTGATACAGATCTGAACCTCCCCTACCTTGTCTCTGATACAGATCTGAACCTCCCCTACCTTGTCTCTGATACAGATCTGAACCTCCCCTACCTTGTCTCTGATACAGATCTGAACCGCCCCTACCTTTGATACAGATCTGAACCTCCCATACCTTGTCTCTGATACAGATCTGAACCTCCCCTACCTTGTCTCTGATACAGATCTGAACCTCCCCTACCTTGTCTCTGATACAGATCTGAACCGCCCCTACCTTTGATACAGATCTGAACCTCCCATACCTTGTCTCTGATACAGATCTGAACCTCCCCTACCTTTGATACATATCTGAACCTCCCCTACCTTGTCTCTGATACAGATCTGAACCTCCCCTACCTTTGATACAGATCTGAACCTCCCCTACCTTGTCTCTGATACAGATCTGAACCTCCCCTACCTTGTCTCTGATACAGATCTGAACCTCTCCTACCTTGTCTCTGATACAGATCTGAACCTCCCCTACCTTTGATACAGATCTGAACCTCCCCTACCTTGTCTCTGATACAGATCTGAACCTCCCCTACCTTGTCTCTGATACAGATCTGAACCGCCCCTACCTTTGATACAGATCTGAACCTCCCCTACCTTGTCTCTGATACAGATCTGAACCTCCCCTACCTCTGATACAGATCTGAACCTCCCCTACCTTTGATACAGATCTGAACCTCCCCTACCTTGTCTCTGATACAGATCTGAACCTCCCCTACCTTTGATACAGATCTGAACCTCCCCTACCTTTGATACATATCTGAACCTCCCCTACCTTGTCTCTGATACAGATCTGAACCTCCCCTACCTTTGATACAGATCTGAACCTCCCATACCTTGTCTCTGATACAGATCTGAACCTCCCCTACCTTTGATACATATCTGAACCTCCCCTACCTTGTCTCTGATACAGATTTGAACCTCCCCTACCTTGTCTCTGATACAGATCTGAACCTCTCCTACCTTGTCTCTGATACAGATCTGAACCTCCCCTACCTTTGATACAGATCTGAACCTCCCCTACCTCTGATACAGATCTGAACCTCCCCTACCTCTGATACAGATCTGAACCTCCCCTACCTCTGATACAGATCTGAACCTCCCCTACCTTTGATACAGATCTGAACCTCCCCTACCTTTGATACAGATCTGAACCTCCCCTACCTTGTCTCTGATACAGATCTGAACCTCTCCTACCTTGTCTCTGATACAGATCTGAACCTCCCCTACCTTTGATACAGATCTGAACCTCCCCTACCTTTGATACAGATCTGAACCTCCCCTACCTTTGATACAGATCTGAACCTCCCCTACCTTTGATACAGATCTGAACCTCTCCTACCTTGTCTCTGATACAGATCTGAACCTCCCCTACCTTTGATACAGATCTGAACCTCCCCTACCTTTGATACAGATCTGAACCTCCCCTACCTTTGATACAGATCTGAACCTCCCCTACCTTTGATACAGATCTGAACCTCCCCTACCTTTGATACAGATCTGAACCTCCCCTACCTCTGATACAGATCTGAACCTCCCCTACCTTTGATACAGATCTGAACCTCCCCTACCTTTGATACAGATCTGAACCTCCCCTACCTTTGATACAGATCTGAACCTCCCCTACCTTTGATACAGATCTGAACCTCCCCTACCTTTGATACAGATCTGAACCTCCCCTACCTTTGATACAGATCTGAACCTCTCCTACCTTTGATACAGATCTGAACCTCCCCTACCTTTGATACAGATCTGAACCTCCCCTACCTTTGATACAGATCTGAACCTCCCCTACCTTGTCTCTGATACAGATCTGAACCTCCCCTACCTTTGATACAGATCTGAACCTCCCCTACCTTGTCTCTGATACAGATCTGAACCTCCCCATCCTCCTCTATGACCCGAGCAAACATCAGGAATCTGTTGTAGTCGAAGTTGTTGTTGAAACCAAGATGGTGGCAGTCTCGGGCTAAATAGTCCCACGTGTTGACGTCATTGCCGTTACGTTTGTTGCAGACGATCTAGCGAGGGAGACAGGCGGATAATGTGATGCAGTGTTCTTTGTGATTTGCTCAAAAGCTGGTTTCAGTCTACCTGGCTTGTTAACTGTGTACTAGACGGTCATGTCATATAATTTTATAACATTTGACCTACGGTTTAACGTATTTCAAAATGTTTAACATACTTAATAAGGTTTAACGTATTTTAAAAGGTTTAACGTACCTCATAAGGTTTAACGTACGTCATAAGGTTTAACATACCTCATACAAAAAGGATTTTTCTTCATCTCTTCCGACGTATGGCCAACCCTGTAATAAAAATACCTTATGATTTATCCTATTATAAAAAAAGTGCTCACATTAATGTCTAAAATCTGCCTGACCTTCGTATGTTACAGTCTACAGCACTCAATGATCCGTTTGTGTTGTATCAATGCCAGAGTGGTGGGAAAAATGGCCGACGAAAACGTTAATCTCAGTGTTTCAAGCAGCTCTCATCTCACCCCCCCCCCCCCTAACAAAATCTCAGAGATAGCCCAGCCTGAACTCACCTGTGATCCGCTGACTTCCAATGGACCTCCAATCAACTCCTTAATGAAGGAGATATCAACAGATTTAAGCCCGAAGTTTGTCAGATCTACAAGTTTGTCTATTTCATCAATAAGTTGAACAGACACCTTTTCGTGCTAATAAAGACATAAAATCATATAAAATAACAGATATACTCATATGATATAGATTCTGGCAAAGAAAAGTTTGAGTAAGAACTACCATTTAGAAGAAAAAACACATTGAGTAAAAAACGTTTATAATCACCCACATTGTGCTGTCCTTTGTTGACCTCCTTTAGGAATATGCTGTCAAACATGTGAGAGAAGGGGCCGTGACCTAGAGGAATGGAAGGCTGAGTACTTGAAATAGCCTGAATATACATGTGTGGTATACAGTGTTTCTTCCAAACTTTTTTCTTATTAAACATAAAAAGTCACTTACCCAGGTGGTGACAAAGTACTTAAGACATTAAGTATACATGTGTTGTGTATAAAACCTAGTCACTTACCCAAGTCGTGACACAGAGCGGCGATCTCCACACAGAGAACATCTACATCTGTAATGTCATGCTCTGGGTGGTTCTGTTGTAGCTGTCTGACGAACTTCCCAGCCAAGTGGTACACACTAGAACAACACAACAACATATGGTACACACTAGAACAACACAACAACATATGGTACACACTAGAACAACACATTAACAGGTGGTACACACAAGAACAACACATCAACAAGTGGTACACACTAGAATAACACATCAACACACGGTACACACTAGAACAACACATCAACATATGGTACACACTTGAACAACACATCAACATATGGTACACACTAGAACAACACATCAACAGGGGGTACACACTAGAATAACACATCAACAAGTGGTACACACTAGAACAACACATCAACAAGTGGTACACACTTGAACAACACATCAACTAGAACAACACATCAACAAGTGGTACACACTTGAACAACACATCAACATATGGTACACACTAGAACAACACATCAACAGGTGGTACACACAAGAACAACACATAAGCAAGTGGTACACACTACAATTGTTCAAAATAAAAAAAATGAGTTGAGCTCATTATTTTATGATAAGATATAAAATACAAGTCTCTAACCCCAGCGAATGTTCGAATCTGTTATGTGCCGCCCCAGGGTAGATGTAGTAGACCATGCCCAGCTGTTTGAGGAACCTGAGACGCTGGAAGATGGGCGTGTCTATGATGGCCTGGCATGCTGGGTTCACCTCAATATGGCCGTGGATTGGGTCGTTGTAAATCTTATGAAATACGAAATTTGATTTTTAAGTCTATTGGAAAGTCGTAAAGAGCAAAAAATTCGTACACCGTCAATTAATTGCTGTTAAAAGTTAAAATCGACCACTAGTAACATAAAATGTTTTTTTTAAATGATCTGATGTGTAATAATTAAACCGTAGTGTTGTTTGCTGAAAACTCGAGTTGCAGAATACATATTCGACATGCATATTTGACGTATTCTCAGGTATCGCTGCCTTAAATTAGTTACATATACTAAATAAAATAGCTTACTTTCATCTGGTTTGATTTTAAATGTTTCTGCTGTAACTTTTCAAACATCTCCTGGATTTGTAGACAGTCTTTAAACCTTTAATACATGTATAGCACAAATTGAAATAAAAAATACACATACATTTGTGTAAACAAGCTAAATATAGCGATGCACCAGTTTAATTAAAGCATTAGAATTTATAAAAACCTGGTGGATTATTCAGAACTAGCAACTCAAAAGTCATTATTTTTCTTCAACAATTACACATTTACACTGATATAATATATGAAAATATTAAAAACATTTCATATTTGTTCTTATAATTGAACACAAGGATGAGACACGTACATGATTTTCTTTACCATCAGCATCTCCATGGTCACGTGAGGTATATGTTTACCCTCGACTTTCTCATCTGGTCAATGCAATCAGAAACATATTCAAATAGTTTTATTTTCTTAAATATTTATCAAAACATTAAAGACTAAAATTTTGATGTTTATTGCGGGTTTTAAATTTAAAAGTTAAAAATCTATAGACATAGCTAATTAGTAAAATCGAAAAAATACTTATTAAATTTTACTGATTATGTTTTTATGATTCAAATATTCCTGCGACTCCGCGTACCTTTCAGTATCCCAACAACGGATTCCGTGACCCCTTGACCTTTGAGCCACAAGCTCAGCTCCTCTACATTCCAACTGCACCAGCTTTTGGGGTCAGGCGAGTTAGCCGACATTGTTACAGTTTGCTGATTCAGATAGTAAAAGAGGGGATTTGTTTTCATGAAAAAATGTCAATTTTATTGATTTAGATTTAAATATTTTAGATTTTATAAAACTGCTAAATATTTTTCAGTTTCTACATTATTTGAGTGTACTATAATATTTTATTCACATAGAAAAGTAAAATAAAGATTATTTGACAATTTACAGTTAATATTCACCATAAAAAAAATCGATATCATGCCTATTTTTAAACTTACCACAAAGACAGGCTTAGAAAAACAGCCAATGTTTTGATTGCACTAGCTCCATCATTGACTGGTCATTCTGATCTGTTATCGATCTCGATAAATGCCTTAGTGTGAGGTTATCTTTTGAAAAACGATACATGTATTTATTTTGTAAGGATATATACATTATCCATACATTTTGTACAAATATAGGATTTTACGCTACAAATGAAAACATTGGTTAACACCAAATACAATATAGATCTATTAAACAATAAAATAACCTTCCTCTACCGTATAAGCTATTTGAAATACCCCTTAGAGACCCTCACTCTATTGATGTTTACAAACAAAGTAGAACGTGTCAGAAAACATATGCCGTGTCACAATCGTATCCTATGTGGGCATATGCCGTGTCAGAAACTTATCCTATGTGGGCATATGCCGTGTCACAAACGTATCCTATGTGGGCATATGCCGTGTCACAAACGTATCCTATGTGGGCATATGCCGTGTCACAAACGTATCCTATGTGGGCATATGCCGTGTCACAAACGTATCCTACACGGTATCCTATGTTAGCATACACTGTGTCAGCACAGCCCGTGTGTTGTGTAACAGCTACAACACGGGGTAAATCGTGCCATAGTTTGTTGGGTATTGATTCACGCCACGAATGACTGGTTTTCACAGCAGTATAGCCTGAAGTTATTTTTATGTTACAGCTCTGTGTTGTAATCTTCTCAACGGGGGTAGAGGTCCTTACAATCATCTTTAATTAAAATTTCTTTTGTTGCTTTATACTTCCAAAAATTACTTACGCTATGTGTATCAGGTTTTAAAGGTTTAACTTTTCAAAAAATGATATTTGTTTTCGGTTATTTATTTTATCAAATACGATTATTTTATTTTTGGTTCTATTTAGATTCCAGGGGAGGTAACAGCTAAATAAACATATTAACGATTACATACATACAATCTCTAAGACGTATACTTGTTAAATAATTTTTTTTTCAGATTTGCTAACAGATGCATTATCTAAAAATATTTTCGTTTTAGCTGTTTTAAAAATGATAGCATGAGATAGCCATTAATTTGTGAACAAAAAGTTATCCACTCTACGATCAGAATTAAATCATTTCAATAATGAATTACAACATTCGAAGTTTATCAAAACTATGTTAATGTATATTGAAAACGATTTTCAATGTTCATTGGAACAGAAAATTTACAATATGGAAAAAAGTTGCCAAGACAAGACATGTGTTCTAAAACTTAAGCGAATTTTAAACAAGAACAAATATAAAACAAAACATGTAACAATAAGCTGCACAGTAACGATCTATATGTACACATTCATTAGTGGTATGTAAATATTTTATTTTACAACATCGCACAATAATTGAATGTACATTTTGTGCTTTAATTAGTGACACATATAAAACCTAACAACTGACATCTGAATGTTTTAAAAAACCCCGATATGACGTGGTCCTACCCCCCCCCCCCCCACACACACACACAAACACACTAACACCTCATACAATACTAATATCACCCAAAAAAATGGAAGAAATTCCCTGATTCTATTTTGGACGAAGCAGTAGTGTAAATAACCAAACTCCCGATCCTGTATATAAAATATCGACTTCACATGATCCAGCTATTTCTCCACTGTCAGCCAATCAATCAATGAATGAACACACTATCCAGTAAACCTGACGTCCATTCCTTAAAAAGATTTCTGAGAAAACCACAGTATGGGCGGCTTCATGCTATTCCCTAACTATATGTATGACAGCCGTTACATTTAATTTTTAAATCTTTCTTGAAAAAAATTAAAAGCATTTTTCCTGCGTTTTGCTTTGGTTTTAATTCGAGTTTATGAATGAAACTAAAATATATTTTTACAATCATTGCGTTTTGTTCACAATTTAAACTAATATGGTACAGGTGATATTTTGCTAAGTAAACTTTTGGATAAGTACTAGTCCATAGGCTCTAAAAATAAATGTATCTTTTTTGTTTACTTCATAACGGAAAATCTGGGAGTTATTGTTCTGTTATATAAGGCTACACAAATTAGTAGAAGGAACATGTAGGTAGACTCTGTATCTGGCCACTACCATAGACTTGAACATGTTTCTTAATGTGAAGATAATGCGAACTCTTAGTTTGTTATAACGCGATGTTAATTATCTAGTTGGCTTAATGTGTTGTTCAAATACAAAGATACTAAGAACAGATTCTGGAAAATCTATGCCATTTAATTAATATCGTAGAACGTCAGATTTTAGTCGCAATTTGTTCTTGTTCGCACGGGGATGAGTTTTTCTACTTTGAGAAACTGTGAGTAGATTATGTCACATTGGATAGGACATTAGTCTCCAATCCTACCCCCACCCCCTCACATACACAATCACATCTCTCATCCAGTGCTGGTGTTGCCTGTCCATCAGTGGTCTAACATCGGGGAAGTTTGTTTATAGTTGTAATTAAGTTCTTAAAAACAAAATCTGAAGTTTAAACGAATTTTAACACCTTGACAAGATTAGACACTTATATCTAAAAAAAAAAGAACACATAGGGAGGTAAAACATATTTTAAAGATTATCTGTTTGGTAAGTGGTGTGATTGCATTTCTTAGCAACAAGTGACGTCATTCTCTTGCTCCCCCCCCCCCCCCTACCCTCCACCAAAGCATAACAAATAGGGAATCCTTCTAATAGCATAGTTACAACCGTAGTTACAATATTTATTCTTAAACATAACCCAGTAGTACTTCTGTGAAATCATTGACATCATATCATCTAGTGTCACATGTCCGTTCTATTCATAATTTGAATGAGCAGTAGTAGGTCGGTTCCGAGGTCGGCCATTGTTTGACGTGTACGAGTGTACAATATTTACCCCACACTCCTATTTGTACACTAGTAAAAATATGTACATGAGCAGAATCTCCACCTTCTCAAGTTATTTGTGTGAATATCTTTCAGACAAGACACGTTACTTGTGTGAATATCTTTCAGACAAGATAAGTTATTTGTGTGAATATCTTTCAGACAAGACAAGTTATTTGTGTGAATATCTTTCAGACAAAACAAAATATTTGTGTGAATATCTTTCAGAAAAAACAAGTTATTTGTGAATATCTTTCAGACAAAACAAGTTATTTGTGAATATCTTTCAGACAAAACAAGTTATTTGTGTGAATATCTTTCAGACAAGACAAGTTATTTGTGTGAATATCTTTCAGACAAAACAAAATATTTGTGTGAATATCTTTCAGAAAAAACAAGTTATTTGTGAATATCTTTCAGACAAAACAAGTTATTTGTGAATATCTTTCAGACAAAACAAGTTATTTGTTTGAATATCTTTCAGACAAGACAAGTTATTTGTGTGAATATCTTTCACACAAGACAAGTTATTTGTGTGAATATCTTTCAGACAAGACAAGTTATTTGTGTGAATATCTTTCAGACAAAACAAGTTATTTGTGTGATTATCTTTCCGACAAAACAAGTTATTTGTGCGAATATCTTTCAGACAAGACTGAAGAAGAAGTGAGAGAGAAGGGCGTCAAATGGCAGGACTCTACCAGAGACTGTCAGAAAAACAACCACGACAGCTACTGCACGCTCTCAGATTTCGAGAGTAGAATAGACCATCCATATAGAAGCAAGCACAATTTGATCAGCCTAATCAAGGCACTGGCAGCTCTTGTAGTTCACCTACAGACACCGTGCCTTGATAAAAACAAGAAGCCAGGCAAACGATGTGGTAGTGGCGTCATTCAGAGAGTTAGAATTGTTAAGGGGAGAGAATGCCCGTCTAAAGCTTGCAAGGGAGACAATCACGATTATGGGGTCGTGACGGTTGCTACCGTCTCCCATGTTGTTACGTCACAAAGCGACGCTACACATACCACGGCGAGACTGTACTTTGACGCGGCGTCTAAGACCAACTGCGTCGACTTAGAGTGCTTTAAGTTGATTGAAACAGAGAAGGACGCGGGTTCTCTAGACTGGTGCTCTGTTGAGCTCTGTACCCACGATATGAAGCTGGTCAATGAACTGAAGACAAACTTGGACAACTACCACAAGCTCCAGGCTCTTGTCTTCGCTGAGTTTAAAGACCAAGACAACGATTTTGTTGCGATAGTCGGACACGGCGGTCCGAAAAAAATAAGTTTCGGGAGGGTGAGTGACGTCATGGGTAAGGAGGTTCTGAAAGATGTGCGAGACCACCAGGAGTGGTGCCACTACAAGTACTCGTCTGCTACCTGCCCAGGTAGCTCTGGCTCACCTGTCTACGTGCTGGGCCAGCCACTGTGTGGCTACGGCTACTGGTTCGGTCACGGCCACAACCACAGTGCTCACCTGTCTACCTGCTGGGCCAGCCGCTGTGTGGCTACGGCTACTGGTTCGGTCACGGCCACAACTCACCTGTCTACCTGCTGGGCCAGCCGCTGTGTGGCTACGGCTACTGGTTCGGTCACGGCCACAACTCACCTGTCTACCTGCTGGGCCAGCCGCTGTGTGGCTACGGCTACTGGTTCGGTCACGGCCACAACCACATTGCTCACCTGTCTACCTGCTGGGCCAGCCGCTGTGTGGCTACGGCTACTGGTTCGGTCACGGCCACAACTCACCTGTCTACCTGCTGGGCCAGCCGCTGTGTGGCTACGGCTACTGGTTCGGTCACGGCCACAACCACATTGCTCACCTGTCTACCTGCTGGGCCAGCCGCTGTGTGGCTACGGCTACTGGTTCGGTCACGGCCACAACTCACCTGTCTACCTGCTGGGCCAGCCGCTGTGTGGCTACGGCTACTGGTTCGGTCACGGCCACAACTCACCTGTCTACCTGCTGGGCCAGCCGCTGTGTGGCTACGGCTACTGGTTCGGTCACGGCCACAACTCACCTGTCTACCTGCTGGGCCAGCCGCTGTGTGGCTACGGCTACTGGTTCGGTCACGGCCACAACTCACCTGTCTACGTGCTGGGCCAGCCGCTGTGTGGCTACGGCTACTGGTTCGGTCACGGCCACAACTCACCTGTCTACCTGCTGGGCCAGCCGCTGTGTGGCTACGGCTACTGGTTCGGTCACGGCCACAACTCACCTGTCTACCTGCTGGGCCAGCCGCTGTGTGGCTACGGCTACTGGTTCGGTCACGGCCACAACCACATTGCTCACCTGTCTACCTGCTGGGCCAGCCGCTGTGTGGCTACGGCTACTGGTTCGGTCACGGCCACAACTCACCTGTCTACCTGCTGGGCCAGCCGCTGTGTGGCTACGGCTACTGGTTCGGTCACGGCCACAACTCACCTGTCTACCTGCTGGGCCAGCCGCTGTGTGGCTACGGCTACTGGTTCGGTCACGGCCACAACTCACCTGTCTACCTGCTGGGCCAGCCGCTGTGTGGCTACGGCTACTGGTTCGGTCACGGCCACAACCACATTGCTCACCTGTCTACGTGCTGGGCCAGCCGCTGTGTGGCTACGGCTACTGGTTCGGTCACGGCCACAACTCACCTGTCTACCTGCTGGGCCAGCCGCTGTGTGGCTACGGCTACTGGTTCGGTCACGGCCACAACTCACCTGTCTACCTGCTGGGCCAGCCGCTGTGTGGC